CGAATTATATGATTATCTCCAATAAACCTTGATAAAATGACTTACCCGTATTAAGAAAAAAATATATATAAATGATCACGAGAGCTTTGCTCAGATCTTGCAAAATATCGTCGATACAGTACAGAGAGAAAACTATGTTGATGACAACTGTATAAGTGACAACTATATGAATTTTGTATGTAAAATTGATATATACGGTTTAGTAAACTATTTTGTAGTTATTGCAACTAAAGCTAAATAGTCACAAGAACTACATAATAATTATATAATTCTCGCTACCATTCAGTTTTTGTAATAACTACAAAATAATTTATTAAATTATAGTTATTAATTAGAGAACATTAATATATTATCGCAAACGACCATTCGCCAATTTTTTTAAATTAATAACTAAAAATCTACAAAGTTCTTAAGAAGATAGTAGAAGACTTTTTTGTTCAGTTTGACCTAATGTACAAGCACACATGTCGCTATCGTATGGTTGTGTGTTTAATTAATACCTTTATAATTATTGAGAATATTGCAAGGCGGCATAGAACTTTGATGTTCATCTCAATTCGTACTGTCTCCACGAGAGCTTCGGAGGTTGTTTTGAGACACCCTGTATAATTATTTTAACATTATTTTAACAGCCATATTTTAATAATACTCTATATTTCAACTAATTATTTTAACACACTATGTTATAACTCAATTTAATAACACACTATATTTTAATACTCATTTTAATAACACTATATATTATATATTTTTTTTTTTAATAACACTCTCTATAAAATATTTAACAAATGCATTAAAACAAAATATTTTAGATTAAAGTTTTTTAGTTTTGGTGTAGATAAGATGAGGTCACCTTTGTTTATCCTCAAATAGAGATCACCATCTTACTTACCATCGAAACAAACAAAATTTTAGTCTGAAGTATTTTATCTTAAAATACGTTGTTTGTGAAATATTTTACAGTATTATTAAAATAAGAAACCTTGTATGAGTGCTAAAATTGATCTTGAACTAATTTTTTGCATAAATAGTCATCTTTTGGAATGTTACATTAAACGATGAAAGATAAACAAAATCGACGTATATCATTTAATGAAAGTTACTTGTAAAAAAATGTAAGCACCAAGATATATATATATATATATATATATATATATATATATATATATATATATATATAATGCAATTCGGTGAATTTGTTCGGAGTTTCATCATGCGCTGTACGTTACGAAGATTAATCGCAATGCCCACAATCGATCAGCATGTTATATTCCCTCGTTGCGGAATGATTTATATTTTTTTCACACCTTCGCATGTTGTTACCGATGCTCTTTCGCAGCTCTCACTCGGAACAAATTGGATTGTCCTAGCGTGAAAAAATGTACGATCTCGCATGAACAAAGCTTGTGCGCGCGCATGGCCGCGTTAGCTCGCGGGAGACGAGTCGTCGTCTCGTGCGAAATTTTATTTTTAACATGTCGTGCAAAATCAGTCCTCTGCGAGACGCGACATCGGCCAGAAATAAGAATGGAGAAATCGAATCGTCGCGATTAGACTACGATTATTCCGTCTCTGGCAGAGTATTCGAGGACAAACTCAAGTCGCGTCGGGACCACAAATTCAATATTTTTGCACGAACAAGACGTGGTTAAATTGTCAAAAGCCAATCGTTAATAAATCTCAAAGGCAGAATTAAACGGAACTTGCAACCAGTGTAAGTTCCATGAATTCAGGATTATGTACCGCAAAAACGTAAGAGCATTTGACGTATCAGTTGTCACTTTTTATCATAAATAAACGCAAAGTTTGCACATAGAAAAGTACACATTGCATTTAAGTAAATATTACTTGTCTCAAGTATTTATCAAGTTTATATATCCGCAAAATTATCGTAAGTATTCATCATAAGTATTAAATTGATTCAAAATACGTTCTAAACTCTAGCAAATTTTATTTCAATCAAAAATATTAAATTAAAATTCGGTTTGCTTACTATACTGAATAAAAAAATATATAAGAAATAAAATATATTTATTCGATTTATTCTTAAGATATTTACTTATATTAATATATACAATATTTTTCAAATAAAAAATATGCATTTTTTTTTAATCTTAGCTTTTCATAAAAACAATTATTTATTCGATTTAGGTAAAAGAATTTAAATTGAAATTAATATGTTATCAGTGTGCACACACTAAATATATATATGTTATTTGTTAAATATTTTTCTCTCACAGTATAGAGTCGAACCAACTTTTTTTCAATACACTTTTGCAATATTTTTATAAAGATAATAAATTCCTTTTTGAGTACTTAATAATAAACTTTTCTAAAATTTGTGATTAACATGTTTTAAGATTATTGTTAAGAAAATATTCTTTGTTGCAAATAACAATTATTTAAAAAAAAATAATAAACTGAGTAAACGCTGTTCTTAGAAGAAAACAACATTATTACGTTAATATCGTGTTTAATTTAACAATGTTTTTCTTTGTAAACTGAACCGAAATACACTGAAATTATACTACAAGAATTACTATAGAAATAAATTTTATATTTTATCGAATATGTGGTAAAAAATTCATTCAAATAGTTAACAATAATTTTGTAGTATGACACACTAACAATAAAGTACAATAACATTTTTAAACAAACATATAGCAATTTTGATGAGAATTTCTGTACAGTCCAAGATTACAAAATTGTATTGTAATTTTTTCAATACAATATTTTCTCCCTATATCTTTCCGGTCGAAAGCTGAATCCATTCAAGATAAGTTCAAGTTTCTCGCACAATTCCAATTTCACTTGGAAATGATAGCGCGCGTTCGGTTGCGAGAGCAAATGTTATCGACGGCAATCCAATCGATATAGTGTCGCGTTGATCCGCGTAAAAGTACACGGTTTGAATATAAATAGGCGGCCCAAAAATACCGGCTATGCGTCGTCGACCTGTATCAAGAACCGCCGTTAATAACAATCTATGTTATAATAATTACAATTTGCCGATATATATATATATATATATATATATACATACACATTTATTTAAATAAATGTATGTATATATATATATATATATATATATATATATACACATTTATTTACTTATTTATTTATATCGACAATCGTGCCGTCGCGATCAAAGCAACAGGTTCACCAGACTTTACGGCACAATTACACAAACTCATGCGGACATTCATCTAAAAATACGTCCCGATCGCCGCCGAAATCGCCGTGGGTCTCCTGTAGCTGGATTTCGCTTTGCTGTCGCAGATGCACCGCGAATTTCTCGGAAAATGCAAGACAGATCCGATTATATCGTGAGTCTAGCGATTTTCACTTTGCCCGAGGTACTTTAGCGTACGAAAATACAACGAATTTTTCGCGAAATACAACGTCAAGGGATTCAACGTCCCGGTTGAAGCCGCATTTCAGCTCGAAAGCAATACAACACTACGATATATGATTTTTATGGTTTCGACGGAATCCACAGTAATATTCTTACACGAATAGAAAAAAAGTGAAAAGATTCGTTGAATATAGATAAAATAAGCGCAATTATTAGGATGTTCAAGAGAATGCTAGATACTGACATAATGTTTCGTATTTCGCACTGTTTTTTTATTTGATTGTATAGAAGTGCAAGTACTATTGAATGGTGAAGTGACCTATTATATAACAAATTTTTTAAATTTTTATTTACAAATTTCTTTTTGCTCTTTGGATATAACCTAACGTACCTAAAGTACTTCGCCATCTTTATTAATATCTGTATACTTTTACTTTGAATAAACATTTGTAATTATATACAATTAAAAAGAAAACAGTGCAACTAAAAAGAAAACAAGGCAAAATACGAAATTATGTCGGTATTGTAACATGTAAATGTGCTTTACTTCATTGTTCCGCTGATTTATCCGCCTGCAACATGATCTCAGTTCATGTAACTTAATAAATTAATAATAAATTAATGAAAAAGAAAGAATTTGGTGACACACGAGGAAAGATATCTCTGTTACCGCGACTGTAAATATTCTGGATATTAGACTATAACCTTTTGGATATTACACGCCATTATAGTGGTTTCCGGTTAAGTAATCATTTAAGACAAAACATCACTATAGTAATATTCTCTTCTAAAATTTGCATTAAATAAGATTCAGTGAATAAGTTGTCATTACTAAGCACAATAGTTTATTCACTTTTTTTAACATGTAAATACAAATTTTGTTAATTTATTAGCTATTATATCACACTAATATATATACATCATACTAATAAATACAATAAATCACATAGCGTGTTATCCATTATGCGTGTTAAGCGTCAAAGCTGTACGCATAGTAATCAGTGTCGAAATCAATCATAGCCAAGGAATTAAAAACTTGAGATAAAAAATAAACCGTCTTTAAAAACCTTAAAAATTCTAAAAAAATATGAAATAATCGTGAATTAATATTCCTATGTACTTACAAACCTTTTATCTTAATATCCTAACGATATTAATAGAACGATATTGGCACGAAAACTTGAACTGATTGATCGATCAGGTATTGGTCAATAATCAGATTTTATTTATTTTCCTTTTATTTACTTTCTTTTTATTTATTTCTCTACAATTATATAGTATTATGTACTATATATACAGACAGGATAAACTACACGAAAAAATTGTACGGTGGCTTATACATAAATCTGGTGATGCCAACTGGATTCAATTCGGTTTGAATCCATACTAGTGGGTCAATCGTTTTTTTCCATGTGAGGGTCTCTTTTGTTTGATGTCGTTTAAAAATTCGATTGAAATGTCTGAGAACAGTTGACTATATAGCAACCTCCTACAGGAATCCTTCTGTTCCTATAGCCGATTTTTTGTCTGATCCTCAAATAAAAAAAGTTAATTACAAACTGAGTTCTTCTTCTGTATGGCAACGGTAAGTGTAACACATTTAATGTAGCATCTCGTCTAATTGAAAGCGGCTTTCTGCTTGCAGAAATGAGGCACCTCGTCAGGAAGCAGAGCACGATAGATGTCCACTCCGTGAAAGTCAGCCTGAAGGATATCGTTTGTTACCTGTCCCTACTGGAAGCCGGCAGACCTGAGGACAAATTGGAATGTATGTATTCGCCGCGAAAACGACAACACAATTGTCTTGAATTTCGCGAAAGCGCTTTCTATCTCGAATAATTTGTTAGCCAAGGAAGATTAACGTATATTCGCATTGTTCCTGCTGGACCGACGGTGTGACAGTTACGTCACGGTTACGTGAACTGTTTGAATATTGAATAATCTGTTTCTTGTTGAATAATCGAAAATGCATTTCCGTACATAAATTACAATGACAGAATCTCACGTCGCGTTTTCAGAAGAACTTTGGCCGAACGGTATTTCATGTTCACGCGCGTACGCATAAATAGCGAAAAATTGACTAGCGAAATATGCGATATCGTCGTAAAATCTCCCCCACCTTCTCTCTTTTTTCTTTCTTTTTCTCCTTTCAAAACTCCCGGCGCCTAACTTTCTCGCCAAAATTGCGCACCTGCTCGCCCACGCGGAATTGATTTAACTTTGAAAGTAATAAGTGTCGAAAAAGCGCGGCAGAAACTCTTTCGTGAAAAAAGAGAAAGGGGAAAACTTTCCTTTCTTTTTGGCGCGCGAGAAATTTCCGGTAATGTAACTAGCTTCTCGGCTAATCAAATGCCTCGCTTTACAAGAACGAAATCGTAAACCGCGTAAGAAAGAACGAAGAATGGCAGATGCCCGGGATTTATAAGAGAACTCGCGTGTCGACCGGCAGTCATTCTCAATTTTCTGCCACAGTTGTTACAAGTTCATCGCGCCCGGACTTGCAGTGCGACTGCAACTTGTTGCACAAGCGATTTCGACTCGCGTTGACTCGATAATTGTTTCTTTTTTCAGTCATGTTCCGGCTATACGACACGGATGGAAATGGTGTCCTTGATACAAATGTGAGTCAAGCATAAGCGTTATCAGTTCGAATCGTACGGCGCGTCGCATGTACGTAACATTCGCCGTGCTGAAAACATCTCTCATATCGATCGAAAAAATGCTTAATATGTTGACTGCCGTGTGGCATAGTGGTCACTATAATATTACCGCATCTCACTAATTTATGTACACGTAGAAAAAGCTGTAGTAAAAATTACGTTAAAATTATATTTCTTCTTACAATATTCTTTGTAAAACTGGGCTATATATTAGGTGAGCAAAAAAGTTCTGAGCTTTAGATTTCGTGCAACCGAAACAACAATTTAAATTTTATTTATCTTCCCGCCCTTTTGCTGTTTTAAAACGTTGACATTTTGCCTTCTAAAATGCCATGCGGTTTGGCGTTTGATGCACATAACCTCAAAAATCAGTAGTGTTCGATGGCAATAACAAAAGAGCATATTCGATTTTCCATCCACTTCGCGTTTTATCTGAAGAAAAATGCTGCTGAAGCCACTGAAATGATTTGTGCTGAACAACAATTGACCAATTTGAGTGATGCATTAGAAGAAAAGAGGTCATTTACTGGCCAACGAAGTCGTCAAGTGATCCTGTTTCATGACAATGTCTGACCACATGTTGTGAAAGCGACTCATATCTTTCTGCGTTAGATTAGGAACTTCTCCCAAACGCGACATATAGCCCAGACATGGCACCTTCCGATTATTACCTATTCCGGTCGCTGCAGCATCACTTGGCTGATATACATTTTGTGAGATTTGAAGAGATACGAAAATGCATTGATGACTTTATCGCTTTGAAGCCGGTGAGCTTCTATCGTTAAGGAATTCGCAAGCTATCTGAAAGATGGCAAAAGGTCATTGATGCAAACGGGGAATATTTCGCTGATTAATATTTCTTTGTTTGTTTTTGAATAAAGATTAAATTTTGCAAAAAAAAGATCAGAACTTTTTTGCTCACCTAATATATACTGAAATTGTAGTAAGTTGTTATAGTAGTAAATTTGACGATCTATCAAATATACGATAGAAAAAGAATTCAAGCAGTTGCAATAATTTAGTAGTAAAAAGTCAAACGTACGTAACATTTTTAAACAATACGCAGTCATTTCAATCACAATTCTGTATAGTTCATAAAAATTCTGTTGTAATTTTTATTACAATATTTTCTTCATGTATAATGTAGTCAACTACATGTAACAAATTAAATATATAGCCGATAAGGAGTTAATGAAATGAGCTTATGAATAGACGCATTATTGACTATATTTATTTATTGCATCTTTAGAAATTTAAATTTCAGTTAAGTATTCAATTAAATAATTAAAATCAGCGTGGTAGTCAACATGTTAATTGCTTTATGTATATACAGAAAATATACACAGAAATACATAATTCGTTAAAATAAGTATTTATCATTTCAAGCACTTTATGAGTATGTATTTTCACAAATCTGTCACAAGTTCATCATAAGCATCAAATTTATTTAAAATACATTTTAAATCTTAGCAAGTTTAACATTTCAATCAAGAATATTAATTTTTGCTTTAACACCACATTTAGTTAGTTTATTTATTTATTTTGTATTATTCCTAACTTTTTTAAACTTTTACTTCTAGATCATAATGAAACTTTGCATACATCATTATATGTACAGGGTGTCCTGAAACCACATGATATTTTAATAACAGATTCTTTAAAATATTTCAAAACAAAAATTTTAATACAAAAATGTCGCGACTATAATAGTTTTCAAGCGGGAAGCAATTATATTTTATCAATGACAGGGTTGAAATTTCGCACGTTCAAGCACGGTGAAAGTAATAAAGAGAGAAAGGTGCTCTTTTAAAAAGATAATAAATAATAACAGAAATCTGAAGTTTTGTATATTATCTATGTATATTATGTTTTATATATTATCTACTACATCAGCATCACATATGCATATATAATACCGATAATTTTTCGTTATATATTCATATAAAGAAACTAAATATATCTTATACAATTACATTAATAAAAATACTGTAAGTGTGTGTACTTTATATATATATATATATATATATATATATATATATATATATATATATATATATATATAACATGCGGTGAAAATGTTGTCGTTCACTTACATGTGAAACAATGCTGATTCTGATTTAGATCGACGACAAGTTACCTTTTTCACGACAGTAAATAGTACGACCTTTGTCCCTCGAGTAACGATAATGGGATGGAATAGCTTCACTATATTAATAAACGAGAGAAATATTATTAATTCTATGTTGCTGACTGCACTCGTAATAACTGCATCAATTGACATGTACCCTTTGATCCCCTACAACGCGAATTATATGGAACGAGTACAATTTCCGCTTCTCTAATAGCGACGCGTATCATTGACCTCCCGGCGAATTGAGAGAAGCCAGAAAGCCGAATGAACGAATTAGCTTAGGTACCGCTACATACACATGTATACGCGTTAATAATTCATTTTATATATAAACGTTGTTTTTGTGATTACTTTTAAAATATATAAAATACTTCAAAAATTCTCCAGAATATAACTTTTACACGCACAATTACATACAGAAAAATACATATTGCATTCAAGTAAATGTTGCTTTTTTCAAGTATTTTACGAGTTTATATATTCGCGAATCTGTTATGAATTTACCATAAAAATTAAATTTATTCAAAATGCATTCTAAATCCTAATAAGTTTAGCATTTTAATCGAGAATATTAAACTAAAATATAAATTTAATTTGTGTGTGTATGTGTGTATGTATTATTATTACACACAAAATCGAATCAATTTTTCCTTCGATAAATTTTTATATTATTCCTGTAAATAGAATAAAAATTTTCCTCTTGACATGATAATGAGCTTTTCTAAAATTTGTTAGAAGTACATTTTAAAACTGTTGTCAAGGAAATATTCTTTGTTGAAGATAATCATTACTTAAAAGAAGAAAATCAAACTAAATAATCGCTTTTTTAAACTTCTCTGTGTATAATGTCGTAATGTAAAAGTTCTCTAGCTTTAAATAGTTTCCCGAGTCAGAATTATAGTTCTATATTAAATCTGCAAGTTTCATCGAACCCGAAGGATCAATGGAGAATCCCGAGATATAACATGACAGGTTCTATCTTGATGTTTAAATGCTTACTAGTTCCCATTTTTGCCATATTGAAGAACCTTGAAAAAGCACTCTATACACAAATGTCCTATATATTATAATTTTACAAGCAACTAATTGTTGTAACTGACTATAAACATAATAGAAGCAATTTTCTTCTATGTATTAATGTCCGCCACGACCCTGTTAACCGCATATTTTGTCTTGTAATAACCAAATTACGAATACGAGTATGCAACAATATAACACAATCTTGCCCTGGTTCAATTGTCCAGTAGGGTAAAAAAGATCACGTAAAAATGTGTATCTTGATTAGTAGTTCCAGAATTTCCGCGAGACATCTTCACAATCTTCCTGCCGACCTTTAATTATCGGTCAACTTTATCTCTTCCGCCCATATGCTCTATTTCAATCATTTTATGAATAAAAATTGCATTTATTACCAGAAACAGTATCATATATTTGCAAAAAATTTTAGTTAGTAACACATCATTTAATTTTATTTTGTGATATTAATAGAATGTAATTTCAATAGAAAATTTCAAGAAGCTTGAAAATTTATTTTGTTATTACAAAATCAGTTTTTCTCTGTTTCTTAACTGTAATATTATTCCGATGATAAAACTCAGTAAAAAGTATTTATGTCTTAAAAGGATTCGTGATTTTGTACCCTATTATCAAGATAAATATTAAAAAAGCACAGGAGTATGAGAAACATACCTCTGAAACCATGTAGATCTCAGGGATATGTTTCTCATATCCCGGTCTTCCCTATGTAATGATCAAGTGGACCTATACATTCATTTATGCGACTCTAAAATTATTAATTAATGAGGATAAAACTTAATAACACATCCTTAATGAGGATAAACTTAATAACACATATCCTTAAGTTAACTTAAGGATATGTGAATAGTTCTGTAATCAGTGTACTTATGAATTTGCGTCCCCGCTAGTATATTTATATATACGTTATAAATTATTATAATTTATAACGTACATATAAATTATAATTTATATAACGTATTATAAATTATAATAATTTGCAACAATTAATTAATATTTATTAATTTCAAAATTGTTTTATCTAAATTTAGTGAGAGAGGCAAAGGTTCTCGGTTACCCGAGGTTCAATCTCAATTGAATAAAATAAATTTTTTTTTAATTCTCTATTCAATATTTTTACGTAATTTTAAAATTAAAATTTAATTTTCATTGAATATTAATTTACATACGTAGAACATTCTCTGTTATTAATTTATTTATCTTCATTTTGACTATCACTGCTGTAATATGGTTCTGATAATCTCTTTACAGCAAAATAGTTGTGCAGCAAAATGCGACATCGTTTTCAAAGCCTAAAAATGTCGTTCCACTTTTGCTGCTACTGCTTCGTCAAAACGTCACAATGACATTATAGCGGATGACGTTATAGCTAAACTAGATGAAAATGTTATAGTTTAAATTGCCACGTTTTCGCAGCCGTTTAAAAAATTTTTGTGCTATTTGCAATAATTATCAATTATTTATGATCTTTAATTGACAGCTTAATTTATTACAAATTCGTATTCACGAACCGTTACTCGGCTGTTTCGACCAATATTTCTTATTTTATGAAATAAGAACATATATAAATTAAGAAATAATGAGAGACTGAAATAATAATTACTTGTCAAATGGTAACGTGCTATGAATGCCGACTTAAATTTCTCGGATATCTCTTTACTCACGGCAAGTTTGTCAGGTGTTCGTTGAAATCGGAAATCTCCTGCATAATAAATGACTGTACACACACCTTGAAAATATACGATGTTTCTCCGCATCTCGGTGTCTTGCGTCTTCTATCCTGATTTCCCAATCT